TTCACATGATAAGGGAATGGAAGTCTAAGGGTGAAATCAGAATTTGTAAGATTGGAATGGACGACAATGTAGCTGATCCACTCATTAAACCTTTGCCTCAAGTGAAGCACAACAAGAACGTTGAGGCAATGGGAATCAAGCACGTTGGAGATTGACTTTGATTTTCCTGTTATGTGATTTAATTAAATTTGAGCTTTTTAATGTAAAACACTATGTTAAACCCTTCAATCTTAGAGTAATTAAATTTTCTACAAAATTATTATCACTCCATTCCTATTATTGTGGTTTAGAATTAAATAATGTGTCCATTCGATTTATGAGAATATTCAAAACAGGGTATCAAGACCATGTCTTGGATAAAGCAACACCTGTTAAGTGAACATTGAATATTTCAATCGAAAATTATCCCTAATCGAGGTCATTTAAATGATGGGCAATTAATGACCAATTGAGATTAGTGTGTAGTATGATTTATAGCATCGTTTCTTGTGCTATGAGGACATGATTGTCATAAATCATTTGCACAAGTATTGGTTTGGAGCTATACCGGATCGACCTATGAGAATAATAATAATAATAATAATAATAATAATAATAATAATGATAATAATAATAATAATAATAATAGTAATAATAATAATAATAATAGTAATAATAATAATAATAATAATAATAATAGTAATAATAATAATAATAATAATAATAATAATAATATTGATATTACCAACAAAAACAAATAATAATAATAATAATAATAATAATAATATTGATATTACCAACAAAAACAAATAATAATAATAATAATAATAATAATAATAATTTTGGAAAAAAATTCTCTCGTTTAGGGGCGATTAGGGCTGGGCAGGGTAGGCTTTCCTCGTTCTTTTTCCGGCTTATTTTCCGTCGAGTAGGTGTGTTCAGGTCAAGCGCGTTCAGGTCAGGTGGGTTCTCGGTTTTATTTGGATGATTTTCAGGTGGTTCCGGGCTTCTTTATGGCAGTTTTGAGGTGACTTTTCCAGGCGTGTTTTAGGCGGCCATCAGGCAAATTTTCCAGGCGTGATTCAGGCAGTTTCAGCCGTGGTTTCTCGTTCAAAATCCGGCAGGTTCCACGTTTGTTTTTCCGGTTATAATTCTCCGGCAATTTCAGGCGAAGGGCATCCTTTTCAGGCGTTTTTTCAAGCGTTATTCAGTCGTTTTCTTGTCGTTTTCCGGCGTTGTTTCCAGGCGTTTCCTGATCGTCTTGCAGGCTGTTTCTGGGCGTGTGTCTTTGGGCGTGTTTGCGGGCTGTTTATGGACGTTTCTCAGGCGTAATTAAGTCAAATATCTCGTCTTTTAGGGGCTGATTAAGGTGCTATTTTGGTGCATTATTGGTGCTCTTTTGGGTGTTATTTTCAGGCAGTTTTTAAGGGCTGTAATAGGCAGTAGCAGCGTGGTTTTTGCCTTGGGTGAAGGTACTTCGTGGTGGCAGCGTGTTTGCGAGGTGTTTGTTTCCTTTCATGCGGCTTGAGTAGTTTTCGGTGGTGTGTAGCTATGCCGGGTGCTCGGGTGAAGTTTCATTGCCCCTTTGTGGGTCTTAGCGGTTGTCAAGATGGAAGTGGCATTGGTCTTACTAAAAGTTCTCTTATCAAGCATCTTTGTGATTGTCATTTTTGTATTGGTGCGCGAGATACCACTCGACATTATTTGACTTCTAATTTGGCTGTGTATTCTGAGGCTGAAGTTACTTTTTCGCGTATGGGGATTTGGTTATGTGAGTTGTTACAAAACGCATACTCATCGTACTAAGTGTCGTCATAGTCCGAGTGAGGTTGTGTCACCCCCGGATGAAGGGGATGGTAATGTTCGTTTTGTGCTTCATGGTTTCTCCATGACGCAAGCTCCCTCTTCTCCAGCTCAGCTTGGGCGAATAGGTGGTTTGGTGCAAGATCAACATTGTGTTTTTGATGTGGCTCTTCTTGATTGTTTGTTCTCCAAGGGGTTTCGTATTGTGAAGTCTATACCTCCCAAGTGTCGTTTGGGGTTTTCTCGGGTTCTGAAAGGTGCCCTTGATAAGGTGATCTCTAGGCCTGATGACTTTTCCAGTGGGGTCTCTTTGTTGGTGTTACCTCTTTGTACCCTTAAAACCTTTCGCCCGCGGAGCAGCTCTGAGTCTAGGGTAAAACAACGACTTCAAGAAGCAAGTATTTCCCGTGCTATTTGTTCTTGGAGTGCACCAGGTGGTATTTTGCAGCTTGTGAGGGATACTTATTCTCTTACTTTATCAGTGGTTGGTGATGAGGACCTTGATTTGGGGGAGCGTAATATCAAGCAATGTCGTAGGAAGATTTGTGACGGCCACTACACTACTGCAGTCCGGGTTCTTTCTTCTTCAGGCGTTGCTCCTTATAATGACGCCACTCTCGCAGATTTACAGTCTAAGCACCCTACTTCTCCAGCTCCATCCTTGCCTGATATACCTGTTGATGGCCTTCATCTCGTTACTACTTCAGCTGTTGTTTTGGATCAGATTAAGAGTTTTCCACGTGGCACATCATGTGGTAGGGATGGTTTACGTGCTTTTCACCTTATGGATTGCTTGAGTGGTGCTGATGTGGCTGTCTTGGATGAGTTAGTTGACTCTATTTCCGGGGTGTTTAATCTCTTTCTAGCTGGTAGATGTCCTATGGAGCTAGGAGAGTATATTGCTAGTGCTCCTCTCATACCTCTTGTCAAGCCTGGTGGTGGTATTCGTCCTATAGCTGTGGGAACTATTTGGCGGCGTCTGGTTTCGAAGGTCGGTGCTGTTATGGTTGGCCAGTCTTTAGGATGTTACTTTGATGGTCTCCAATTTGGTGTTGGAGTTTCTTCGGGAGGTGAGGCAATTATTCATGCTGTGAATCGATTGATTGAGGATCGTGGTTCCGATGTTGGTCTTTCTATGTTGTTGGTGGATTTCCAAAATGCCTTCAATCTAGTTGATCGTGCGGTCATGTTACGTGAAGTGCGTCGTCGTTGTCTAGGCCTTTCGCAATGGGTTGAATTCTGCTATTCTAATCCCGCCAGATTGTATTATGGGGACCACACCTTATGGTCGTCTCAGGGGGTGCAGCAAGGTGATCCCCTTGGTCCTCTACTTTTTGCTTTGGTTTTACAACCCCTGGTGTAAAATCAGATACACTTTTGATGTAAGTCTACATGCATGGTATTTGGATGACGGCACTATTATTGGTGACACGTTGGTGGTGGGGAAGGCTTTGCAGTTGATTATGGAGGAAGGGCCTCGTTTTGGGTTACATCTTAACGTAGAGAAAACTGAAGTTTTCTGGCCTACCGAAGACCCTCAAAGCAGGCTTGTGGGTGTCTTTCCACCTAATATTGCTCGACCTTTGCGTGGTGTTAAGTTGCTTGGGGGTCCAGCTAGTTCCGATTTCAGTTTTGGTGGTGAGCTTGTGATGTAGAGGGTGACTAAGATCATTGCGCTTACGGATAAGGTTGCTATGCTTGATGATCCTCAGTGTGAGCTATTGTTACTTAGGGCATGTACCGGAGTTTCTAAACTCTACTTTGCATTGCGTACTTGTCCTCCTAGTACTTTTGAGACGGCTCAACGCACATTCGACAAGGCTCTTCGATCTTCCTTGGAGCGTATTGTTACTGCTTCGGGGCCTGGGTTTGGCGATTGGCAATGGCGACTTGCCACCTTACCATTTGCGTTTGGAGGGCTTGGGGTATATTCAGCAGGTGATGTTCGTCATTATACTTTTCTTGCTTCTCGGTTACATTCAGCTGGGTTGCAGACACAACTTTTACGACATGCTGGCATTGTTGGTCTTGGACGAGCCTATGCAGGTGCGTTGAGTTTATTTAATGGAATAGTGGAGTCTGACATTATGGGTAATCCTAGTGAGATCGCTACCCCTAAACTCATGAAGAAATTAGCAGATATATATTTCAGAAAGGTTACCGCTTCTACAGAATCCGCCTATTCTTTGTCTTCCCGGCAATCAGCACTGTGGAAATCGCAGCAGGGAGATCACACCTCTGCTTGGCTTCGGGCAGTCCCTATTTCTGGGTTGGGTCAAACGATGAACGCAAAGACCTACCGATGTGTGTTGTGCTACAGGATGGGTATTCCATTGTTCTCTATCTCGACGCCATGCTCTACTTGTTCTCGGGTTTTTACTGGGGACATTTTCGGTGATCACGCGGTGTCGTGTGCTGGTATTGTGGGTATTAAACATCGGCATAATGTTGTCCGAGATACCCTTTTTGATATCTGCTACAGATCTGGTATTTCAGCAAGAAAGGAGGTTGACATAGGGTTATCCGGTGGGAATGACGGGGCCCTCAGACCTGCTGATGTGTTACTTTATTGCTGGGATCGTGGTCGCGATGTTTGTGTGGACCTAACTGGGTCTTCTCCTTTGACACAGACAGGGCTATCTGACTTTGTTCCTGGACGGGTTGTGGCTGATGCGGCTCATCGTAAGCGGGTGAAGTATGAAGCTAGTTGTCGGTAAATTGGATATGGTTTCATTCCCTTCTCCTTTTCTTCGCTTGGGGAATTAGAGAAGGAGGCTGTTGCGTTGTTGAAGAGGGTTCAGAGATTCTCGGCGATGCAAGACATTGGGGCGCGTGCTGCAGCTTATATCTTTACTAGGGTAGGCTTTGCTATAGCTAGAGGAGTGGGGGCCCAGATTGTATATCGGCTTCCCACTAATTTATTGTAGGTTGTATGACTTTAACTGTTTTTGAGATAATAATAATAATAATAATAATAATAATAATGATAATAATAATAATAATAATAATAACAATAATAATAATAATAATAATAATAACTAATTAAAAGTCGAACTTAAACGAAAGTTGAAATATCATTGGAGTATGCGAAATTTTATAAATAAAAATTTCATGGTATTACAATCACCCTTCCTAATAAAAAGTTTCATCCTCAAAACTTACAAACAAACATAATCATTCAAACCCATATTGAAATAGGTATAAAAGAAAACATCAAACTAAGGCTCGATACTAGCGTCAAAAAGCTCGGGATACTTTCGTCTCATAAACTCTTCGGTTTCCCAAGTAGCCTCTTCATGTTTCTGACTTCTCCATAGTACTTTGACCAAAGGGACCACTTTCCTTCGAAGCGTGCGATCTTGACGATCTAGAATTTTAACTGGCCACTCCTTAAAAGTCAAGTTCGGCTCAATTGTAACCGAATCAACTGGAATCACATGAGAAGGATCACTACGATACCTTTGCAATTGCAACACATGAAAAACATCATGAACCTTTAAGAGATTCGGCGGCATTGCTAACCGATAAGCCATTTCACCAATTCCTTCCAACACCTGGTAAGGGCCTACATACTTCGGACTAAGCTTGCCTTTCTGCCCGAAATGCATCACCCCCTTCATCGGAGATACCTTCAACAAAACCTTATCCCCAACCTCATAAGAAATACCCTTACGACGCAGATCCGCATAAGTCTTTTGCCTATCTTGCGCAGCCTTCATTTTGGAACAGATCACTCTTACCTGCTTAATAGTTTCCTGAATCAGATCCGGGCTCAAAATTAGTGAATCACTTATGCCGCTCCAACAAGTAGGACTACGACACTTCCTACCATACAAAGCCTCATATGGAGCCATCTGAATACTCGCATGATAACTATTATTGTAGGAAAATTCCACCAGACTCAACGATTCAAGATTGCTGAAACTCAAGAGCACAAGCACGAAGCATATCTTCCAACGTCTGAATAGTTATCTCCATCTGACCATCAGTAGCAGCATGAAAAGCAGTGCTCAACTTCAGCTTTGTACCATAGGCCTCTTGCAAAGCACCCTAAAAGTGCGATAAGAATCATGGATCACGATCCGACACAATGTCTTTAGGGACACCAAGAAGACGAATAATCTCCTTAGCATAGGCTTCCACTAGCTTCTCCATTGACCAAGTGTGTCTCATAGGAATGAAATGAGCCCCCTTAGTCAGCCTATCCACAATGACCCACACAGAATTTTTCCCACCAGTAGCTTTAGGAATACCCATCACAAAGTCCATAGATATAGAGTCAAACTTCCAAGCGGGAATCGGCAAAGGTTGCAACAAACCCCCAGCCCTCTGATGTTTAATCTTTACCTTTTGGAAAACTAAACAACGAGCCACAAATTCAGCTACTTCTTTCTTCATACCAGGCCACCAAAAGCTCACCTTGAGATTTTTATATAACTTTCCACCACCCAGATGAACAGAATATGGAGTGTTATGAGCCTCTTCAAAGATCTTCTTCTTAAGATTAACATCATTTGGGACACACCATCAACCCATGAATTTCGAACTACCATTGGTACAAATCTCAAAATTCTAAGCTCGATCCTGTGCTTTAGCCTCACGGATCTTTTCTAACACCGGATCATCTACCTACTTAGACCTTAATTCTTGGAACAATTCTAGCTAGACACTCATAGATCCCAAGAATGAAGAGACAAACCCTTGCAGTACAACTTTGATGTTTAGCTTTTGAAATTCTTTGCACAACTCCTTAGACACGACCATAGCGGCGTTTAGAGAATGTTTGTTCTTATGACTCAAAGCATCCGCTACTTTGTTGGCCTTTCCTTCGCAATAGTCTAGAGTCACCCTGTAGTCTATGATTAACACTAACCACCTTCTTTGCCTCATATTAAGATCCCGTTGGGTAAAGATATACTTCAAACTCTTATGATTGGTATACACCTTACATGGAACCTCATACAAGTAGTGTCGCCATATCTTTAGCGCAAACACAACAGCCGCAAGCTCGAGATCATGAGGTGGATAGTTCTTCTCATGAACCTTCAATTGTTGACTCATAAGCGACCACTTTACCCTCTTGCATCACAACACAACCTAACCCATTCTTCGAAGCATCACTATATATCTCGAACTCAATCCCTTCGGTAGGCAATGTTAGTACAGGAGCAGATGTCAACCTCTTTTTCAGCTCTAGGAATGCATTCTCGAACACCTCGGACCACAAGAACTTAGAGTCCTTCCTCATTAGCTTTGTCAATGGCTGAGCAACTCTACAGAAATCCTGCACGAACCTTCGATAGTAGCCAGCAAGGCCTAGAAAACTTCGAACCCCTGACACATTCTTCGGACTTTCCCACTGATGGGCGTTAGAAATGTCGCACATTCCACCCTCATTCAAACACATTTATAAGCAAACATCTCACAGACCAAGCACAATGATAAGAGTTCAGTCCACAGGGAACAAGATATAATCGCTAAAGATCTTAATACGCAAGCTTATGTTGATTGGGGGTTCGTCAAGTAGACAAAAAAACTATTGTTCTAATTCAAGTGATTAAAAGCACTAGGGAATGGGATCCACTCAACCATGGCAATTAAGAATATTGGGAGTAAAAGAGACAAGAGATAGTAAGGACTATATGTAAGACCAACCTCATGAAATTAGGAAAACAACTCACACTCCTAAACTTAGATCCCTCATTAGTTTAGCAATAGGAGATACATAATCAAATTGCAATAAGTAATGACATACTTAATCTACATTTCCATGTCAAACTAAGCATAACATGCCATCAAGCTCCAAATTCAAGGGTAGCTAATCCTATCATGAAGAACTAACAAGAAATCTCATACAATCAATTTAATCACAAATCAAACATCAATACTTCTCCCAAGTTTACTTAATTAACCAATAGGTTGAGCTTCACCCAACCCCTAGCAAGGGGGACTACTCACAATTCATTGTGAGTAACATGCAAGGTTCCAAGTTGGTGTTCTAAGTAATTCTAAAATTGGGGAAAAGTGATTCACTATGGATAAACCTAACATGCAACAACAATTTATCAAGACTAAGAGAGATTCAAGTGACTTGCAATAACAAAATAAAATCAGAAAATAAGTAGTGACAAGTGAAAGAAGTTACTATTTAGCTTCAAATGTTGAATAAATGCTGAAAATCTAAGAATGAACCTTGAAGTTTTCTTCTACAATGATTAGATTTGAGAGTTTCTAAACTAAATCATCAACTAATTAAAGAACTAAGGTGCTAACTAAGAAAAAGTTTTTTAAAAACTATTCTACTGAGCTAATCTATATTCCCCTCAAACACGTTCTAAAAAGGAACTTAAATAGTCCGTATAAAGTTAGATGAGATCGGGAAAAGGTCCGCCGAACTCTGGGTAGGTTCAGTCGGACTCTAGGTAGGTTCGGTCGAATTCTGGGTAGGTTCGGCTGAACCTCCCTGCTCCTTGTTTGGTCAAACTTTTGAAGTTTAACCCCTCCTGCAAAATCGCTGAAAACTGGTTTGAAACTGCCTCCTTTGCACCTTGGAAGTTCGGTCAAAGTTTTGAAAAGTTTGACCACACCTTGGTTCGACCGAACCTTTCAAAGGTTCGGCCACACCTCCTCTTGCACTTCCTCTTCTTGCTTCCTCTCCTTCCCTTTTTCTCCTCTTGCCTTTGTCCATGCCTCCAAGCTTGGCCAAGGGGCCTCCCACCGTGCTTAGGACCACCATGGAAACTACAAAAGATAGTAAAAATCACGAGAGCATGGGGATGATAAAATAATGCATAAAGATTATCAAACCAAGCGCAAATAAGCATACTTTTCATCAACACATAAAGAAGCCATAAGAAATGAGGTAGAAAAACCTAAGAAAATAGGACAAAAGAAACCTAAACACTACCCCTAAGAGTGACATAAATGTCACTCATCACCCACTCAAAAACCGCCTTGATCTTAGAAGGATCCATCTTAACCCCGACTTTATTAATAACGTGGCCAAGGAAAGCAACCTCTTTTAACCAGAACTCACACTTAGAGAGCTTGGCGAACCACTTTTGTTTCTGAAGAACATCTAGAATCTACATCAAATGCCTTTCATGATCTTTCTCATCCTTAGAGTAGACAAGTATATCATCTATGAAGACCACGACGCACTTATCAAGATACTCATGAAATGATCTATTCATTTGATCCATGAAGATTGCAGGAGCATTTGTGAGACCAAAAGGCATCACTTCAAACTCATAGTGACCATACCTTGTTCGAAAGCAGTCTTTGGTATGTTCTCCTTCTTTACAGGAATCAGATGATATTCAGACCTCAAATCGATCTTTGAGAAAACTCCTGCGCCTTTCAACTGATTGAAAAAGTCTTCAATTCTTGGCAAAGGATACTTGTTCTTGATAGTCACCTTGTTCAATTCACGGTAATCAATGCACAACCTCATACTACCATCTTTCCTCTTGACGAACAAGACAAGAGCACCCCAAGGAGAGACACTCGGCCTAATAAAGCCCTTATCAATCAACTCTTGCAACTAAGTTTTCAACTCTTGCAATTCAGGAGGCGCCATTCTATAAGGAGCCTTTGATATCGGGGCAGTTTTAAGAACCAAATCGATACTGAACTCGACGTCTCTTTCTGGAGGAATACCCGGCAATTCGTCAGGAAACACATTCGTATATTCTCGGACAATTGGAATGCTCTTGAGCTTTTCTTCAAGAGATAGGTCCTTCACTACACAAAGGAATACCTCATCACCCTTTTGTCGCATCTTTCTCATTTTTAGAGCAGAAAAGACCTTCAAGCCTTTCTTCACCAAGACACGGGAATAGGAGATCCGATTTCCTTAGGGGCCACAAAGCGTCACCTTCTGATCGCGATAATGGATGGTTGCATGATATTTTGACAACCAATCCACCCCGAGAATCACATCAAACTCAATCATCGAAAACTCTTTTAAATCAGCAAGAAGCTTAATTCCCAAGATATTGATAGGCACATCCTTAAACTCATTATGGCACGGAAAATTCTCTCCCAAAGGGAGAGATATCAAAGACTTTACAGGTGATCTACTAGTCAAATTAACTTTAATAACAAAGTCACTAGCAATGAAAGACACGGTAGCTCCAGTATCAAACAACACATAAGAAGGTACAAAATTAACAAAGAATGTACCAGAGATCACATCCGGTTGCACGTCTGCTTCAGCCTATGTCATCACATAAATGCGGTTTTTGACAGGAGCGATAGGACCAGTAGATTTAACACTAGGAGGATAAGCAGCATTCGGGTTCTTAGGACACTTGAAAGACTTATGACCCACCTCCTTACAGTAGTAACAGACAATTGTAGATCCGTCACAATTCTTTCCTGGATGATAGTCATTTCCACATGTACAACACTTAGAGTCAGAACTCGATTTGAAACTCGAACTAGAACCAGATCCCTGCTAATAGTTGCCTCGGTTACTAGAGTCAATCTTTGGCTTCTTAGCCAGGGTTTAGTTGAAAGTAACAACCGGATTCTTCACACTCACGCTCTTGCAGCTTCCTCTTCTCGGATAGAGGCATGGATGCTAAGTGCAATCTCGTTGGCACCTTGAAAAGAACTTGCACCAGAACTTAGGACATGAGTCCTAACCTTAAGATCCATCTTCTTGATGTACCATTTTACCCTCTCAGATTCTGAAGGCACAATAGAGGTGGCAAACGGGACAACTTAGTGAACTTGTCTGTGTACTCCTGGATCGACATAGACCCCTGAGACAACGACAAAAATTCTTCTTGCTTATGCCAACGAAGCTCATCAGGATAAAATCTTTCCTTTAGCTTGGTAGCAAATTGTGTCCACCCAAAACAAGGCACTTCCATACACTCTTCACGATTTGTACTTCACCAGCTGTCGACTTCCATTTTTAGGTAATAGTAACCGATTAGCACCCTTTCTTGCGAAGGACAGTTAGTTGCAGTGAACAACTTTTCCATCTCTCTAAGTCAACTTTCTAGAACCATTGGGTCAGAAGTTCCTTCATAGGTAGGTGGTCTATCACGGTCAAAACGGTCAAAGACTAATTGCCCCTGGTTAGAAAGAAGGTGCAACAGTTCGATTTGCCAATGCTAATATAGCATCCTCAATTGCCCTTCACCTGCGTCGTGCAGCAATCTTCTTAGGACTCATTCATGGAGGCATTCTACAAAAATAGCAGACAGATTAGCTCATAAACACATCAAGACTTAACACATAAGAAAGAAAAATATATATACCCTTAGTTTCTTCCTACCCAAATAGCTCACTGATAAAGTTCTTGAAGTCTAATATGTTAAAATTCTAGATAACATAAACTACATATTTAGTAGAAAGTTGTAGCAACTCAATGAGATTTTTAGAACGTTTTGCTCTAATACCAACTGTAACACCCCGTCTAAAACATAAGACAAGACGTTAGCGGAAATAACGTCGAGACGGAAATGTCACGCTACCATGAAGAAATAAAGAAAATGATTAAATAACAGAGATAAATAAAATAAAGTGAAAGAAATTCAAAATGAACATTAAACACTTCCAATGAGGGAAACAACCTCAAATCCGATCATCCCAACAGAGAAGGTCCAAAGATAACAAAAGCAAGTCTAGAAAAGTAGCTGCTAAGAATAAACTAAACACTCTGCGCTCAGCCCAGACTCAACTTGAACTACTCTTCACCTGCAAGTAGCATTAAGGTTCCACAATCAGTGGGGAGTAACTAGCAGATCTCCCAGTACTGTAGAAATACAAAGCTAAGTAAAGAAAAGCTTAGACACAAGCATAAAACTTAACAACATGCAGGAACATCAACTCAAATAAGAATTACCAAATAAACTCGAGGAAAAAAAACATGGAAACACGATTATAATACAGATCAAGGCATGTAAATAGAACAACGTAAAAATATTACTACAAAATAACAGATAAACATAGCAGCTTCCATAACAAAACGGTAACTCATATAAACGATAATTAACACTTATAAAGGGTTCCTTCCCAAAACCAGTAATATCTTTAAAATAATAAATTTTAACTTTTTTTTTTAAAACAAATTTATAGTGAGGTAAGCATATAAAATAAGAACGCCACCAAAGGTTTGTCAGGGCGAACCTACAGACGATTGCGCAGCCGTCTGCGTTTGAGAATGGCCAGACTTCTAGTTTTCCAAATTAAATTCCGCAGCCCGAGTAGTTCTGGACGACAACAATTAACCTAGGAAAATACCTATTGAATTCCGCAGCCCAAGATGTTGGCATGTTCCAACCATTGAATTCTGCAGCCTAATGGCTGTCTTACACTCATGAATCATATAAAACTGTAAAAAAATACTTCTTCAAAATCATCCAAACACATTAAGGGATCATCAACCCCAATTTAAAATATTGCGGGTCTTTACTTCTAAGACCAAAATTCAACAAAAATCCTTCTAATGAGTTTAACTTTAAAGTTCTTCAAAATGTACGAAACAACTTATATATCATAACAAGGTGTCACTCTTATTATCTGGATTTGGGTACGAACCTATTTATAACAAAATATCACAATACACTCCGTACATAACCCTTGGCGAAGCGGTCTAAAAACAGTGTTATTATTCTTTAAAGCACAACGACGTTGACAACTTACTTGACACTTTAAAACCATTTTTTTTACTTTTCAACTTTTTAAATATCAAAACTTCCCCAATTTACACCATAAAAATCAAGCCAAAACATCAAAGAAAAATCAAGACATTATAAGCTATACATTAAGCAATGTAAATACACAACAAGACATCAAAAATCAAGTCAAACCCCAACCAAATGACACGCCTATGTACAGCAGCCCTTACATATAATGTAGCAGCCATACACACATAAAAATCACCTAAAACCCAACAAAACTCTAAAACCGAACCTAGCCCATAACCATAAGACATCATAGGATGATTTATAGAGTAGACTAAGCATGTTTTTAACCATAAAATTTAAGCAAACAACCTGATTTGACGGCTCTAATCACATGCATACAAACAGTGGGGCAGCAGCACTTAACCTCAAGTTTTGGGCATAAAAATCATATAAAAGGCTTGCTTAAAACATGATCTAACTATTTAGGAACATGCCTAACATGATGCTACATAAAATTAAGCACAAAAGCAACCTAAAAGTAGGCAAATAAAACCTTAAATACAAATTAATAATAAGAACACTTGTTGTCCATTTCCTTACAGCAACATACAAGCATGAATAGCCTACTATAGTCATGGTCTTATAGCCCAAACTTAACACGAACTTAAGTACATGATACTAGGTTTAGTGAGAATTGAAGTACACAATTTTTCGTGGATTTAAAGACAACCACAACAAATCAGTTTGTAAACTGATATTTTACAGCCTGCAATGTACTCAAACACAAGGCAAAATTCAACCCATATACTTGTTCAATAATCATGATTTTACAACCTTAAACACCATAACAAGTTTACAACACCTAGACATGATTATCTAGCATAAAAATCAGCAATGAACTTGACTAGAACCTCCGTTAATCACCACGCACAAACATCACACAAAATCAGAAAATATAAGCACACAAAAATCATGTCAATTTCTAATACAACCCACTACAATTTGCATCTAACCTTACTCTAACCTAGCTATGATTTCTAAAGCTTGGAATAGTGCTAGTTACCTTGATTTGAGATAAAAGAAAAACCAGTTTAGAATAGAGGAGAAGATCATCCCGAAAGCGTCCCGGAAGAACTCCAATTCCCACGACCTTCCTACACCTTGATGGCCTTGGTTGATGGTGTTTCAAAAATTGGAAAGGAAGAGAAGAGTTGTAGCAAAACCCACGTTTCACCTTAATGATATTACATAAACATTGAGAGAGTTTTGAGGGAAGAAAACTGATGCATGAGTGCAGCAAATACATGCCCAATCTTGCTGTTTTGTACGCTTCAATTGAGGGAAGAAGAAAAGAATTTTGGATAGCAATTTAATTAGTGATTAAGACACTTGATTAGGCTTGATTTCTTGAGTAATTGGGAAGATACTAAGTCAAAACTTTGTGCAGTAACTCCAGCCTAGCAGTCGTGCAAGAGGGAGGGAGAGAGGAATGGGCTCAAAAAGGCTTCCATGCAAACCCTAGATTAAGGAAACAAATGGGACAATTAGGGAGGTTAGACCAAGGACTATCATGGGCTTAAAAAGACTAAATAACTAAGGTTATACAAGCCTAATTGAACGGTTAATTACTAGCTCAAATCTATCCCGAAACCAATCCTAGTTGACCCCAAGAAAAATATCAAAGAGAAGAAAGAAATAAGAAGCAAATAAAATACGCATAACAAAAACAACATTATTAATAATAATATTGATATTACCAACAACAACAACAACAACAACAATAATAATAATAATAATAATATTACCAACAATAACAAATAATAATAATAATAATAACAATAATAATAATAATAATAATAATAATAATAATAATCATTTTGGGTTACATCTTAATGTGGAAAAAACTAAAGTTTTCTGGCCTACAGAAGACCCTCGAAGCAAGCTTGTGGGTGTGTTTCCGCCTAATACTGCTCGACCTTTGCGTGGTGTTAAGTTGCTTGGTGGTCCTGTTAGTTCCGATTCCGGTTTTAGTGGTGAGCTTGTGATGCAGAGGGTGACCAAGACCATTGCGCTTATGGAAAAGGTTGTTATGCTTGATGATCCTCAGTGTGAGCTATTATTACTTAGGGCATGTACCGGAGTTTCTAAACTCTACTTTGCATTACGCACTTGTCCTCCTAGTACTTTTGAGACGGCTCAGCGCACATTCGACGGGGCTCTTCGATCTTCTTTGGAGCGTATTGTTACTGCTTCGGGGCTTAGGTTTGGTGATTGGCAATGGCGCCTTGCCACCTTACCATTTGCGTTTGGAGGGCTTGGGTGTACTCCGCAGGTGATGTTCGTCATTATGCTTTTCTTGCTTCTCGGTTGCATTCAGCTGGGTTGCCTTTTACGACATGATGGCATTGTTGGTCTGGGATGAGCCTTTAGAGATGCTTTGAGTCTGTTTAATGGAATAGTGGAGTCTGACATTATGAGTAATCCTAGTGAGATCGCTGCCCTTAAACTCAAGAAGAAATTGGCAGATATATATTTCACAAAGGTTACCTCTTCTGCATAATCCGCCTTTTCTTTGTCCTTGGCAATCAGCATTGTGGAAATCGCAGCAGGGAGACCACACCTCTGCTCGGCTTCGGGCAATCCCTATTTCTAGTTGGGTCAGACGATGAACGCAAAGACCTACCGATGTGTGTTGTGCTACAGGATGGGTGCCCATTGTTCTTTATCTCGACGTCGTGCTCAGCTTGTTCTCGAGTTTTTACTGGGGATATTTTCGGTGATCACGCGGTGTCGTGTGCTGGTATTGTGGGTATTAAACATCGCCACAATGTTGTTCGGGATACCCTTGTTGATATCTGCTACAGATCTGGGGTTTCAGCAAGAAAGGAGGTTGACATAGGGTTGTCTGGAGGGAATGACGGGACCCTCAGACCTGCTGATGTGTTACTTTATTCCTAGGATCGTGGTCGCGATGATTGTGTGGACTTAACAGGGTCTTATCCTTTGACACAGACGGGGCTATCTGACTTTGTTCTTGGACAGGTTGTGGTTGATGCGGCTCATCGGAAACGGGTGAAGTATGAAGCTAGTTGTCGGCTGATTGGATATGGTTTCATTCCCTTCTCCTATTCTTTGCTTGGGGAATTAGAGAAGGAGGCTGTTGCGTTGCTGAAGCGGGTTCAGAGGTTCTCAACGATGCAAGACATTGGGGCTCGTGCGGCAGCTCATATCTTCACTAGGGTAGGCTTTGCTATAGCTAGAGGAGTGGGGGCCCAGCTTGTATCTCAGCTTCCCATTAATTTATTGTAGAATGTATGACTTTGTCTGTTTTTGAGATATAATACAACTTATTAAAAGTCAAAACTTAAATGGAAGTCGAAATATCAGTGGAGTATGCGAAATTTTTAAATAAAAAATTCAGGGTATTACATCGGCAATAGGGTCCATTTTGTATGCCATGATATGTACAAGGCAAGATGTTTTATATGCCGAGCATGTGTAGCAAATTTCAAGCATATCTAAGGGAAGCACACTGGAAAGCTGCTAAGAACATCCTTAAGTACTTGAGAAGGACAAAAGGAATGTTCCTAATTTATGGTGGCGAAAGCGAACTGGTTGTCAAAGGCTATATAGATGCGATCTTTCAAACAGACAAAGATGACTTTTGATCTCAATCAGGGTACATTTTATGTCTGAATGGAGGAGCAGTGAGCTGGAAGAGTTCGAAACAAAGCACTGTCGCATACTCTACGACAAAATCTGAGTATTTGGCTACGGTGGAAGCAACAAAGGAAGCAGTTTGGATTAAGAAATTCCTCACTAAACTAGACATTGTAATTAGTGCTCAAGAAGGAATTGAGTTGTTTTGTGACAACAATGGTGCCATTGCTCAATCAAAGGAGCCAAGGTCACATTGCAAGTCCAAACATGTAGAGAGAAAGTATCATATTTGAGATATCGTTGGTAGGCGGGATGTCAAGATCTGCAAAGTTCATACGGATGAGAATATCGCTGATTCGCTTACTAAACCTCTTCCACAGCCCAGGCATGAGATTCACACTAGGGCTTCTGGATTGAAGCGAGTTATGTAATTAAGTTGTATTTGTTTTGAGAAAACTTATTACATATGAAATACATTAACTTGCAGAATTATGTTTAATTAGAAATTTTCATTTTTCTTATTAAATTGTGGTTTGATATTAAATAAAATGTCCAAAATAATTATGAATTGATGGGATAATCAAATACGTGATTTGGTGAATGAAACCCCACATGTGAACTAAATTCATAAATTATTTTAAGTTCCTAAATCGAGATCATTAAATTGGACATATATTATTTCAACCAATGGACTAGCATGTAAGATTGAATGATAGCGCAGTTTCATGTGAAAGGAATGGTGTCCTTCGAACAAGTGTATTATTCCAATAAAGAGTTCAAAATCAATTACGGAGTTAATTATTCAGTAAAGTCAAGTGATCGGAAAGTCGGGCTAGAGGGCATTTATGATCAGTGAGATTAATTATATTAATCTCACAACTTTCCTTTGACTAAATCTAACGAGTCACACCCAAGCGTGCAATCGAACTAAGGCGACGAATTAAGATGAAGGTCTTAATACGTCGAACAAGATGATACGCCATGCGAGGGGTAGGCTAGTATGACTAGCAAGGCTGCTAGCCCATGCAAGGCATTGGCCGCAAGCCTAGCAACAGCATGCGCGTGCTGGCCGGGCGAGCTGGCCATCGCTTGCTAGCTAGCAACGCAAGCAAGGTTAATAATTAGCAAGCTTGCTGGGCCTCGCTAGCTGCTGCTAGCGCCAGCCCGCGTGGCCTGCTAGCCTGCCATAGCGGCTCGCTAGCGTGCGAGGCCTGCTGGTGCTTATGGACAGCGGCAGCAACGTAGGCCTAGCTGGCTGGCCCAACCGAGAGCACAAGGGCTGCCAGCTAGGTGCGCCTTATTGCTCAAGGTAAGCCGGCTAGCTAGCCACTTCCTATTGGGGCTGGTAAGGCTTGGAGAGCAAGGAGGGCCTTGTGGTCCTCACCTAATCCCTCGCTTTATTTGCCACTTGTTGTTTGATTATTTTTTTCTATTATTTTAATTTATATTATAATTAAATTAAATGAATTATTTCTCAACTTTACAAAGTCCCACATTGAAAGATTTCAATGGGATGGAAGATGCCTCTTCTATAAATACCCAAGCTTGCCTTGAGAATTAAATTGCAAGAGTTGAACTTGAAAAGGGCATCTCCATTGAGAAAACCCTTGGAGTACCTCTTGTTAGTAGTGTTGCGTAATAACCTAGTCGTTAATACCAAACAAGTTCCGGGCGTGTGGGTGGACTTCGTTAGAGGAGCCGCATATGAGGTTCTCGCTCCATTCGAGGTTCTTGCTCGAGTGACGGGGAATCACGCTTTAAGGGTATGAACATATTTTCCCTCCTCCTCCTCCTCCTCTCTCTCTCTCTCTCTCTCTCTCTCTCTCTCTCTCTCTCTCTCTCTCTCTCTCTCTCTCTCTCTCTCTCTCTCGTATGTTTGTTTATTATATGCGTGTTTAATTTAGTCGTATTAATTTATGCATGTAGTCCAGGGCGGGTTTTGGTTCTGCACAGTGTTCGCACATCGTAAAACAACATCATGGGCTATAGGGACATAAAGATGAATGATGCATAGATATGCATGAATGATGCATGATCGAACTATTGACCTACTTTGAAGTTTAAGTATAGAACTTCCGGAAATATTAGTGGATTCCTTTGACATGAGTGGAACACTGTCTTCATTCAATGATGGTTTTAACTATAGGACATTAAAATGTCATGCCGTAAAAGTGGACTATAAAGGGTGTTTCCTGGTTACTTCAAAAGTTGAGCGGGAGCATTGGTTACTACAAGATTGGATTGAGTCTACTAATTTAATGTGTCATGGCCTCTTGAAGAGGGAGAATTGACAAAATGCATGGACGTGCTCAAATGGATTACATAGTAATCATTTGTTTTGCAATTCTAACTCAAATTTCAAGAAATGATATGTATATTAATATGATCTCGACATGAGATGCAATCATTTTATCAAATCGACACATATTTAACTTAAGGAATTTGATTACACACTTGTCTCAGACAAGTGGGAGATTGAAGGTTTTATGTATTCGTCAAGTGCAATTACTAGATATATAATGGATCAAATTATGGAGATAATTAAGTTAATTAGTTCTTTTGGGACATCGTTATATCATAGCTAGAGGTACTAACGATCTTTGGGCTAATAAAATAGACCAAAGCCCAATTGAACGGATCCTATAAGGTCACACAAAGGGCCTAGATTGAGCATAAGAGGAAGAGGCCTTTTCTCTCTAAGTGGCTGGCTATGTGGGTAGTGTATGAGGGTTTCAGACTTTCTAACCTAGTCTAATTATAATATGATTATAAATAGACTAGGTGCCTAGGGTTTTACATAGCATAGTTTTATGGTTAATTAAACCCAATTTAGTAAACATAAAACCTAGCCCTCTCAAACTCCCTCTCTCGTGTCATTCTCTTCCCTTCTTGCGCCGGTGGTGTGTACGGTGATGGTGGTGTTCGTTGTGGTGGCTGGTTGTCCAAAAGGTGGTGATCGTGGTGCATTCCTCCATCATCCGACCAATATAGCATTGGTGGACGGCTCATTCGAATCTCGTGGACTAAGTAAAAGAGCAACGCTTGGGGCTCTATTCTCTCCCTAATTGTCAGTATATCGCAACATGGAAATCACGCTTCAAAGGTATAATTATGTGTTTCTTGTGTATTATGCATGTGATCCTGTATTAGGTGCATATGAATAAGATTCGTGAAATTTCGCTTAGAGTACCTAAATCCCTACAATATTTATAGCTTGAGGCAAAATCAAGCATAAGACACATGTGGTGTGCACGCGCCAAGGGGTGCGCGCGCGCCACTAGGTGTGTGCCCCTCATCATGCGTGCACTAATGAGCTCGCTAAGCTTCACCATGCTCCCGCAAAAGCCCGCGCGCAAAAGCATCACCCTCATCTACGCTCTCACATGATGCTCACGAGGGAGCGACTTTCCAATCCTCATTTTAGCGAGTTCAACACCATTTTGGCTTGAGGGCATGGCACGAGAGCGCAAGAGCTTGAACTTGGAATTTGTCATTTTCTCGCTTCTTGAGCTATTCTGAATGCCATGAGCTTGCTCCAAAGGCCTATTCCAACTTGGGAAACCACCAAGATCGAGTCCCAAGCCTTGTCTAATACCTACAAACAACGAGAGAGAAATAAGTAAAAGAGAAAAGACGAAAATAACCACTAAGTGAACAAAAATACAAGCAAGCATAAAGAATCTAATGAACAAATGAACAAAACACTACGTGTGAGTGTATGACACTCATCAACTGATCATATAAATTTTTTACTAAAAAAGTAATGTAATCAATTTTTCTAACGTTAGTCAAAAGATTCCTATAATCATATAATTTTATTAAAATATGATTTATTTGACAAAGAGTATATAGTAAGTACTCCGTAAAATAAAGTACTTTACTAAAACATAATTTTTTTGACAATTTTTCACTTAATGATTTTTTGTTAAAAATATTATATTTATTTGACAAAGATTTTATACATGTTTATAGTTGACAAAGATTATATAAAACTCCGTAAAATTAAGTACTTTAGTAAAATATTCTTAACATATATATATGATTTTATAGTTATGAGAAATGTTTTTAAAATATGCGATATTATATATGAATAAGATCTTTGACAAATATACACCGAATAATTTTTAACAAAAAAAAATAACTAAACTAAACTAAACAAGGGACACGTGTCAGTTATAGAGCTAGTGTACCCTATTTTAGTAGAGTATATTGATTGATTGATATTGATTGTTACCTTATTTCATTTATAACTTTGTAAGAGTTGGTCGTAAAAATGGATTTAAAAGATGGTTCAAAAAACAGATAAAACAAATTTCTCAAAGAGTCTATCTTTAATTGAATAAGTAATGAAAACAAATCAATTTTTTAATCATCTGCTATTCTAAAATCACCGGAGTGATATAGCATGGGATAAACTCAGCTTGTTCTGAAATAACTTCGCTTGACTTGATCATCTAAAGATTTTGCACCAAATTTCAGGTTCCATTAGTCCATTTGTTGCATATTATTACAATCGGAGTAGTTGCTGGGGTTTATGATGAGGAGAGGGATGCATGGAAAGTGGTCTAGGGTCTTGATGGCCCTCCGAAATTAAGTCACTTTCTATGGCACATCCGCACATGGCCACATGTGCAAGGTGACTGCAGCTGTCAAGCAGGAGCTCTTACTAACACCCATTGCAGTGGACGAACTGTGTGGAGCTTATGTTGTTGGGAGTATGGGCAAGTAGCACGTTTGGGACTATAATTTAATGAGCTTGTGGTGTGGTTTGCAAGCAAACTGGAACAACACGAGTTGAGAGTTCTTTGTCCTCTGTGACACGAGTGAATGAGTGATCAGCGATAGTGTTCAAGGAAATTCCCCGCGGTGGTTAACTAGTGATGATATTAACAACTTATTTAAGTTTCTTGAATTCCTTATGAATTCTCATGTTAATACAGTAGGCAACAAAGTGCCTCGTCTATTTGAGATAGGATACGTGCGTGCTAGCATGGAATTAGTTTGTATGAACTCCATCCCCAAAGTCTTATAACTTCAAGGGAATCCGATTTATAATAATGAAACTGTTTTGAAATGAAGGGAGTATGTTGACTTGATTCAGATTGCTTTGGAAACAATATGCAAGAATTAGGTAACTTTTAGAAGAATACAAGCATACAAATTGTATCTGAGCCTTATCAGCGAACATCATATTTTGTATTAACAGAGAAATGAAGAATTTTGGTTAGACAAAGAATATTAAAAGATACAGGAATTCCACTATCTATTCAATATACTTGCGATTCTTAATATT